CATGCCAGGCAGGTGAGCATCTCAGACTGCCGAATTGTTAGAACAAAGTGTTCTTGTGTTTTTGAGGGAAAGTTGTAAATCTTATAACAGAAAAAAATTGTATTAACCAGTTAGAACATAATGAATTCTATTTATAACTCAACATAATCAGTGGAGTTCTTAAGTCATGTAGTAAGAGACAACAGATTTTATTTATTGATTTTTAAGCCACAATAAGTGGTACATCTTTTATTGAAGAATGGATATGAAAAGACCTTTATAGACAATTCAAAACTTACTTTTATCTAAGAAGAATTTTCTTCACATCTGTTTATACTTTTGTTTTGCAATTAACAATTAATGAGCCTTTTAAAGCTGTTGGCACAGAATCAATTATATTGCATTGTCTTGCTGGTGGCTATTTGCATATATGTGCACTGCTTAGTTTCTGATATAAAGAAAGATAGGTCATCATTCCAAGCATGTAGACTTCTAATTGGCTATATTATTAATAACTGATCAAGCCTCTTTGGCACAAGTACTTATTATATTAACATAACCAAGAATGGTCTTTGTCTTTTTCCCATTAATAGATAGGGGATGCTACATATTGCTGCTCCGTTCATATCTTACATGGAACTAGATCCGTTCAACATTGCTCAGAAACTTAGCATCGTGCGTGCAAGGGCAACTGTCCTTTCCAGCCTCGTGATTGATGGGCAGATCCAGTCAGAGACCAGGTCAGGGCATAAACTAATACTGATGGCACAGGCCAAGGCCAGAAAACTGTTGGAGAGTGATTGGGATACAAGTGAGGTAGTCTAAAATACAATAAGCAAGCAAACAAAAACACACCCTTGATCTGGAACTGATCTTCACAGTCATTAGCAACAACTTCTTCCCCATAACTTTTTTTTATTGGTTTCTCAAATATCATCTTCTAAAATTTATTTTACTTTCTCTCCTGTCCTTTCCTACTCCGGAGACTGCTTCTACAAAGTTCCCAATGAAAACTGAAGAAGACAGCTTAATGAAAACCTTTTTTGTTAGACTTCACCTAGCACAGTGTTCACACTCCTGGTCATTCCTTTGTTGTTATTTTTAACCTATATTAATTATCCTTTACTTAAAATGTAACAGGTATTGATTATAATTAATGAAATAATGCAAAAATGCATACATTAAAATTTATATCACCTCTACCATCCCAATTCTATCTCTACCCCCTTTGAGATAACCAGATACTAGTGTGTTTATTATCCCATATATTTCCAAGTGTACAGTTTTTGTCCATAGAAGGGTTTGGCCTATACATATCATCCTGAGATACTGTCTTAGTTAGAAATTGCCGATATCTCTCCAAGTCAACATACGTAGTCTAACTTATTCTTCACAGACAAAAGGGTCATAGTATTGGTGTACCAACATATTTAACTGTCTACGGTTTGGAGGCCACTAAAAATCATGTTGCAACAAACAAATGCCCTTGCACGTGATCGGGCTTCAGAAAGTTCATGGAAAATATATCTCTTCATCTCATTTTTAAACAAACATTTCAAAGTCCCCTGTATATATTCTTAACCTGGGACAGAATTCCCAAAGTGGAATTGTTGATATAAATGGTTGATATCCTTTTCATTTTAATAGGTAGCTGAATAACTTCCAAAAAGTGTAGACCTTCACAGAAAATACAAGTACACGGAAGTGCCCATTTCCCTGTATTCTCATTAGCCCTGGATATGAATGGTTCTTATTTATTCTCCTTCCTGCAGCTGCACAGCAGCACCTCACGTTTTACTTCATTTTCTGTTGCCCTGACCATCAGTGGAACGAGTCTGAGTTAAAACTCATTGGCCATTTGATTTGCTTCTTCTGTCATTCACCTACTTGTGCTGTTTACTGTTTTTCTACTGCAGCGACTGGCCTTGATTTGTCAGTTGGTAGTTCTTTGTGATGATTTAGCTGTGGCTTGTGCTGCCCTTTCCCATATTCGGAAGCTTGTCATTTGATTTACTTTTGGGTACATTTGTAACATAAAGAAGCTTCATTAAAAAATCCGAAATGCTTCTGAGTCTTCTGTGTTTAGAATGATCCCTCTTACCCCAAAATTCTCCTAATTTTTCTAGTACTTTCACAGCTTTTTAAAGATAACTTATCTTTTCTTTAGTGTGAGATGAGGATTAAGCTTTGTTTGCTTTAAAAGGAGTCATTAAAATAAAAATAAATAAATAAATAAAAGGAGTCATTGTAGAAAAATATTGTTTGAAAACTGTGGTAACAATTGTAGAATTCTACTTGATGTGATTGAAATATGGAATGATATATGAATTAAATCCTAACTAATAAAAATATTTTTAAAAATGAAAACAAAAACTAGCCAGTTAAGTCAGCATGGCTTATTTTGCTACACAATCCCTTTCCTAGTTCGATCCCACGAACTGAAGGCTACCTTCCTCGTGTATTCCACGATCCCACAGAGGAGGTTCGGCGTCTACTGCAAACTTCGAATGCTCCAGGGGTTGAGTCTAGAAAGCCTGATGTACATCAAACGGGAATGGTGGAGCATTTGCATATCTGACTCAAAGGAATACTAATTCAAAATAGAACCTTAAGACAAGTGGTAGCAAATAAAGGATTTATAAGGGTTGTATTAGGGCCGTAAGATTTCACTTCCAGTTTCCAGTTTTTTCTAGTACTCGCTGTAGGAAATATCACTTCCATTCTAGCTCTTTTCGTTATCTATTGCAGTGAAACAAAGAACGCAAAATGGTCAGGGTTTAAAGCAACGCATTTTTATTTCACGCAATTCTTCGGGTTTGCTGGGCGATCCTTCTATTTTGGATGCTGTCAGACAGACTCATCCACATGGTTGCCTTCCACCAGGAGCGTAGCTTGGTGACGTCTATTCACCTTCACCTGGTCTCACTCGTTTGTATTTTTTCATTCGGGGTCTCTTTATACGGCCTCTCTTTTCAACAGAATTGCCTGGGCTTCCAGATGGCATCGTGTCTGGAGTCTATGAGAAAGCACGACCCAATCACAGGCTCCAATGTACAGCTGTCTGTGGGAGGCCTCTGCTGCCACAGCGCTTGCTGACATCTCATTAGCCAAAACAAGACACGTGGTCAAGTCCAGAGCCACACAAAAGTTTGCATTCTAGGAGGTTGAATCATTAGGGACTATCCATATATCACTATGATAGTTTAATACTGTTTTAAGATTTAGCCAAGAAATATGACCTAGCCGTTCCTCTTTTTCAGGATATTGATAGACACTCTCAGACATTTATTTTTAATTGTGAGATTTAAAATAATTTCATCCAGAATATGTCTCCCAACATATTTAGCCTTTCTTTATGCTCTTAGCAACTACTACTGCATTTTATATCTTAAGCATCTTATTGCTAAGTGAGAATATTTGTTAACAAAATGGAAGTAAAACAAACAAACAAACAAACAAACAGTTGCACACTATCAGCTTGATACCCTGACACTGTACCTTTCCCCATAGGCGGCGGGAGTCCAGACATCTCCACCTCTTTATGCCTGCTGTGATGGGATTTGTCGCGACCACAACATCAATCGTATATTACCATAACATCGAAACATCCAATTTTCCTAAATTACTTTTAGGTAAGTAAGATCAAATATGATTATAACTTACTCTTTCTTTTTCCTTATAATGAATACTGCCAGAGTGAGTTGGGAGTTGGAAGCTAGGGAAAAGCATGATAATGAATTGTAGTCCTAAGTCTGAATTGAACTAACAATGACAGCAATAAATGTGGGATGCAGGCTAGCTGAGTTGCTCTAAGTTCCCAGGGCTTCAAGTATTCTTCAATGAATGCCCCTCGCGGTGGTGCCTTGGTCGTGACAGGAAGAACGTCCAGGGAATGCGCTCCCATTCTGGCTTACAAAAACTGTGCTCCATTAGGGTGGATGCAGTTAGGTTAAAATGGAACGCCTCATTTTATCTCCCTTTTGACCCATTTTAAATGTGTTTCAGTTTTTAATATCTTCTACTTTTTTTGAACCCAAATTTCACTTCTGTAATTTTAAGATCAGAAAACTACTAACTTTGACCACATTTTTCATCATTAAAATTACCAAAGTATGGAGAAAGATTAGAAGAATTATTTTAACAGTCATACTCAATTGGACTGTTAACTGCAAAGTCAGTAGTTCTAAACCACTAGCAGCTCTATGGGAGAAAGATGAGGCTTTCAACTCCTGTAAAGAGTTACAGCCTCTGAAATTCATGGGGACAGTCCTACGCTATGAGGTTGCCATGAGTCAGAATTGGCTTGATGGCTGAGGTTTTTTATTTTTAATTAATTTTTATACCATCCTTCAAGATTCCTCAGTTTCCGTTTTACTTTATGCGCTTTATCCCTCTATCCATCCATTGTTTAGTCTTATTTATTTGTTTTGGATGCATATAAAGTAAGCTGCACTGATTAGTTGGTATGCTTTAGACCTAAATACATCAGTATATATAGTACTAAAAAGAATTAAATGCTTGTTTATAGTTATTTTGTGTTATTAAAATTTACATACACGCGGTACAGAGATCCAATGTTGCAAATGTCGACCCCTGTATAAGTCTCTAAAAACACTGAACATTAACATCTTTCACAGACATTTTCTGTGATTTTTGCCTTTTGATTCTCATTTTCACTACAAGACAACATCTATTTCATTTTTGTCTCATCATAGATTAGTTCTACCTGTTCGAGAACTTTGTATATATTCAGTCTTGCACTACAAACCGTTAGACTTTTCTTTCAACTTGACTTTTTTGAGGCTTATCCATAATGTAACGATTATCAACTTTTTCTTATAATTTCTGGATGACATTATATGAATATATCACAGTTGGCTAATTCTCCTATTGATAGACACCTGGACAGATGCTAGATTTTGTCTATTATGAAAAACTGCTATAAATATTCTTGTCCATGCCTTTTGAAAAATGGGTAGTTTTATTTCTACTGTGTAAATCCCTAGAAGGGAAAATTCTGGGTGACAAGGTAGGTAGATAAATGTGTACAGTAATTGTATCAGTTTGCATGAACACCAACAGTGGGTGGAAGTTCCAATTGTTCAACATGCCCAATTTTTGGTGTTCTTGATCTTTCCAATTTTAGTTATATTGTTGGTTGTGTGCTTGTTTACTGGTATTTTAAAGGATATCATGCACAACTTTATGACACGATATCCTGAAGTAACTGTGTACTGGTATGGATTTATTGTTGTGAATACATTTGTCAATAAATGCATACTAGTACACATTGTGATTTTAATTTTTGTTGCCAAGATAACTAATTATAACCAACTTTAAATGTTTTCATAAGCCATTTATTTTCTTTTTTGAAGTGACAATTTGTATATCTTGCCCATGTTTTGTTGAGTTACATTTAATTATTTATTATAGGAGTGCTTTGTGTATAGTAGATACTAGTATTGTATTCGATATATGTCTTAAAGATATTTTCCTCATAGTCTGTAGCATTTATATTCACTTACTTAACCAGGTCTTTAGAACTATTTTAATTTTATATAGCATATATATATATATGTATATATGCATATATATATATGTGTGTGTATATATATATATACCATATATGATTTTTTTCTGAAATCTTTGCATTCCCCTTCACTGTATTCCCTCGATTGTTCCTGTGCTCTTCTAAAAAAATTATAGCCTTTATTTTTAAAATTTTGGATGATTATCTATCTTAAATTAATATTCATATGTTGTAGAGTAGCTGTCAAGATTCA